AAAAAAAAACCATTATATAAAAAAAAAAAAAAAAAAAAAGGATTCATGAAACTATTTCAACTAATAAGAGGACAAGATGAACGTCAGCGCTACCCATGACCATGTTTTTCTCCAATTTAAAAAACCTCAGTGACAGCATCAGCGCCTCCAGCAGAAGAATCTCAAAGTGAAGCCCAAGCCTGTAAGAGTCAAGTGAGAGCTCCCTTTTATGCAACCAACACAAGCCTCTTTGCCTCTCTCACAAGGCAATAATGGTGAATGTTAATTGCACCTGTCATTGTGTGACGAGAGAAAAACCTAAACTCGTTCTTCTGATTACAAAAATCAAGGTGCAACTGTTCCTCACTGCCTTGTGAGTGCCACAATATTTTAAACATGCTGGTACACACATTTACATACTCCAAAATTCTGGGGTGGGGGATTCTCCTTTGCGGTTTTTCAATTTTCACGGGAGGTTCTGTTCCCCATTAACCTCGAAAAACTAGGGATTATTGTAATCCGATAGGTCCCCCAAACATGGGTTTGTGTGGTGTGTATAGGATCGTGTGCACACAAATGTTTGTGACAATAAATATGTTTTTGTGTGACCAGTCATGTGGATGTGATCCGCAAGTGTGTATGTGTACGTGGGATCTTTGTGTGTGCATTTGTGTGAGAGATCTGTGCGTGTGTGATGTCTGTTTCTGTGATCTGGGTGTGTATGTGATGGGCATGTGTATGCGTCTGGGGGAGGGCTCGACGCATGGACACAAATGGAAAGGGGAAGCAGGGACATTCCCGTTTACAAAAAAAAACTGTCTTGGCATACAGTCCACACATGCGCGCACACACACACGTACACACGCTATGACACATACAAATCCTTGCAGCACACTATTAGAACCTTCGGAGGTTCCCACTCACCATCATGCCGAAAGACAAAAGTCTTCCGCGAACATATCGTGCATGCTTTTAGATGTGAAGAAGCCGAAGATTCAAACCCAGAAATTGAAGACTGTGAGCGGGCTACCACGCTGTCCACAGATTAATCCAATTTCCGTAATTTCCAGTGGGGAAAAATTAGATTCTACATCCAGACAAACGGGATGTGGACCAGTGTGGCCAATTTCAACCTCAAGAGTTGTCCACACAACCTCCTTGGTGGAGGTAATGCAGTGGTGTCTCGAGATTTTTGGAATGTGCTTCGAATGAGAAAAATAGCACTGTATAATATTGTACTTTGTACAAACATACAGTAATGATTTAACGAACCAGACTGAAAAGAAACACATTTTTCTTGAATACAATGGACATTGTGCTGCTGCTGCTTCTAGTTTGTGCACCTTGGCCACCACGGGGGCAGTATAATATACATACACATGCGAAGAAGAGTTTCACAACTGACCGAGTCAGCTGCAGTAATATTGGTTATTTTTCACAGGGGATCAAGAAAATATGCCTGTGAGTGTTCTTATATTCTCTGTCTACATGTGTTGCTCCATTCTTTGTGTTCAAATAGCTGTTGCTCCGAGGGACACTGCGACATTGATGCTAATCGTCAAACCTCGATGGCCTTTTGCATTGTTCAATAACATCAAGAATGCAGCTATCCCAAATAGACAACATATTTAGTTTAACATCAACCGGGAGTGCCAAATCACTACTTGTTGTGAAAAGAGTTAAACTCACTGCCAGTACGTGGTGCTTGTAGCTCAGATTTTTCCTCTCAAGGCAAAGCAAACAAATTGGCCGAATGACGGCTCGCATCGAAAGGCACCGCTGTAATCCAAACAACACACCAGCTGACAGTAACGAGGCTCATATCACCAATAATCTGTTGAGCAACACTAATGCCAATGCATCCACAGGCGCCCGTTTCCACGTAGACGGCCTCTTTCTGGTAATGGTACCCAAGTGGCTATTGGAGCTTCATTTTCAGCTGAGTTGTAGGCAGCGCACACTGTTGGGGTTCCCACTACCCCATCCCCCCACCACCACCACCTGCATCCTCCCCAAAAGGTGGGTGCACTCTTGCTTTTAGCTGACCTAAGGAGCAGCTGAATGTAAACGCATACACACACACACACACACACACACACACACACACACACATATACAGATGCACACACTTGTTAGAGAATGCTCTTTTTCCAGCACGCCCCCACCAGTTCCTCTCCTCATGACAATGTTGGCCACATGCAGGCTCCCCAGGGCATTCCAGAAGAGCGTTTGTTTGAGGCAGCATTGTTACAAATGTGTGTGTGCCTGGAATAAAGAATGACACCTCACCTCCTAACAATGATGGAGTGCTTGGCACTCCCCAAAATAAACTACCGTGTGCATGTGCGTGTGTGTGTGTGTAGTGGGGGATGAAAATGGACCACGCCAGAGCCAACCGTGCATTTACACCAAGGTGCTTTTTTTTTTTGGGGGGGGGGGGTCAATGTTGCTGAATGCATAAATACAAAACAAAACAACAACAACAAATCCTTTGGGCTTCATGCAGTCGTGCATTCATTACACCCCCCTCCCCAACCCCCATCCACCCCAATGCATAGGACATAAGCTATTTATGGTGACATGAGGAACACCACCGACCTTTTTTTTTTTTTAAATCGAAGCAAATAGATCCGCTGGTGGGTGGACGAGTGATGGGGGGCGCAGGGTGCTGTGCGCAGCGTCGACCAGACTCCGTGCTCCAAATGTCACATTTCGGAAAGAGCCTCGTCGCCCGCCTCAACTCTCCGCATCCACACGCGCGCCGCCGTGGCAGATGCTTCCGACTGTCTCGCTTTCGGAACCGGCGGTGGGCGCAGCAGCCCGAATGGCATATGTACAGCGGATCAGCTGACCCCTGCAGCCGCGGATGTGTCCCGGCAGGTCCGACACAGACGAGGGTGGTTGTTTCCCTTTCTCCCCCTCCCTATCACTCAAATCCTTTGTTTAAGCATCTTGCGAAATAAAAAAAGAAAGCCCACCGCGCAGGGCAAGGCGCCGTGCTAGTCCGTTTAAAGTCCACTTCGACGCTCGCTGCTGCTCAACGAATGAGCGCCACGCAAAAACTGCACTCCGCATAACGCGCTTGAAGATTAGGCCCCCACCCCCTCAGCGCCCCCCACGCCTCCTTTCCGCCTCTGCGCATGTTCACACACGCACGTCCACGCACAGAGAAGACAAATTCACTCCATGCTGTTGGAAATGAATTTGAAATGACTGACACATACAACAAAAACCAGATTTTAAATCCTTCCTGTCTCTCTATTTTGTATGGTCACATTCGTTAACGCATGCGCAGTCGCATTTATTCATTGACACGCACTATTTGGGGAACGGTGGTAATTCTATCATTGTATTTTTTTCCCCTTTGGTCATAAATTTGCATAGATATGTCTGATTGATGGATTGACAAATTGCCAGCTGGATGATAGATGTAAGGGATGAAGAGGCGGATGGATGATCGTAGATACAGTTTAATGGCTGAATGGAGGAGACAGCCAGTCTGATTGTGAAAATGTTGCCTTGTTTCTTGCCTTGTGTAGTGTCCAGGGTTATAATAATTTTTATTTCATTTTGACTTTTATTTCGTCAATTTAGTTCATTTTAATTTGTTTGTTAGTTTTTGTTTAGGTTTTATTTTTTGTAAAATATTTCATGTTAGTTGTAAGTAGCTTTAATATTATTATTATTTTTTTAATATGACAAATGCAAGATTTTAAAAAAACAGTCATTAAGTATAATATAATAAAGTCGAGTCAACTACACTCCTCAAACGACATTTTCGCTATAAACATAGATGTAGTTGGTTTTATACTAATATAACAAAGATGTAATAAGATTTTTTCAAAGCATTTTCATAAAAAATATATTTTGTGAACAAAAATGTTTTTTTTTCTATTTTAGTTTGTTTCACTGCTTTAATAACCTTGTAGTGTCTTGCTATGTACTCGAGCTGCTGACGTTTATGATTTGTATGGACGCCTCAGCTGCTTCAGTCCATCAAAATGGGGGTTGGGAGGGCTTTAAGAGGCTGACACACCCACCCCCCCAGTAGGATACACATCTTTCCCCGTCGCCTCATTTGTGGCCATGTTATAAAAAAAAAGGAAAAGAAAATGTTCTGGTGTGGTGCTGATGTTAAATCAGCTGACTAATAATCACTACATCTCTCCATCCACTTCAATTTATGAGATTCTACAAGAAAGGCTGGGAGGTTAATGCTTGTGTGCATTACTGCTTAAAATCCTCTTTTTGGGGACGAGCCAGCCACAGACTCCTTTTATTATTACCTATATTGTGCTTGAGGGTGTTCTGTCTTTTATTGCCATGTTCCCCCCTGATTTTGGCAAAAATCCACGCAAAGCGAGGTGACAGGCGGGCCGATGGGACGAATCGAGAGGGCGACTCATGTGGAGTGGCAGCTGACAACTGGAGGCTAATGTGACAGGTGCAGCCCAGGAGAGCAACAGCACCGGAAGATGAGGTGCAGGCCCGCTGCAAAGATTCATGGCCGTTTTGTCACTTTGCTCTATGTAGCTTCACCGGGGTATGCCTGGAAACAATTAGGGGGCTCGATACAGCAGCCATCATAAATCCATCCATCCATCCATCTATTTTCTGTTCCGCTTTATCCTCACAAGGGTCACGGGGGGGGGGGTGCTGGAGCCTATCCCAGCCGTCTTCGGCCAGTAGGCGGGGGACACCCTGAACCGGTTGCCAGCTAATTGCAGGGCACACAGAGGCGAACAACCATCTGCGCTCACACTCACACCTAGGGACAATTTTGAGTGTTCAATTAGCCTGCCATGCATGTTTTTGGAATGTGGGAGGAAACCGGAGTACCCGGAGAAAACCACGCAGGCCCGGGGAGAACATGCAAACTCCACACAGGGAGCTGGAATAGAACCTCTGCATTGTGAGGTTGATGCGCTAACCACTGCCATCATAAATTGGTTGTAAAATGGGAAGGCCACATAACTGGTAATGGTTGTGTTTAATTACGCGTCTGGTGTAGGGTTACATGAAGTTTAAGGGACATGTCCTCAAAAATCAGCTGTCATTTTTTTCACGATGGTCCACTTAGGTCATATTTGGCTGTGGCGGGCCTTAGTTGGACAATCTAGTTCTAGCCTAACATATTCCAAGTCAAACAGCATCAGTCATCAAAAGAAACACTCACTGTTAGGCTAGGTTCATTTACAAACTTTGCTAGTGTGCTAGCATTTAGAGTACATCCAGATAAAGGTTAAGGCTTTTTATTTATCCCTCCAGTAATAATTAGCAAGTACGTCAGTAATATTAGCCATGTCTGTGTTTCCACTATGTCTACAACCGCCTTTGGGTCTCTCTTCCAAGCAGTTTACTCCACGGAGCATCTTCTTTTTTGCTGACACTTCATACTTTGAAATTATGTCTGTAGAGAAGAAGGCTAAAATTCATTCATTCAAACTATTTCCCCTTTTTTCTCAATTGGTCAAAAGACATAAACGCGTTTGTTTGCCAGTAGTGCTATCGGAGCACGCTTTCGATTTTGCCACCTGGAAGAATGTGTAACATCATGCTGAATTGTTGTATAGATGTTATTTCTGATTATTTTTTTAGGTAATTTTAAATCATCACCTCGGCTGTTAGCCCCAAATGGGTTCGAAGAGCTCCGTTTTTTTGCCGATAACTGGTTGCTGTGCAACTGAGTCACTCCCGAAGATATATGGAGTACCGCATGGTTCTATTCTTGAACTCTTATCATTTGGTCTGCTCATGCTGCAAATTGTCAATGTTTTTTGTTAATACAAAGTCTCTCTGTTCTTTTTTCTTTTCATGCTCAAACTATGGTCTGCAGATTGTATCATGGTCACGCATTGACATCTGCGCTTCCAATCTTGAGCTTGAGGGTCACATTAAAGAAGCCAATGAAGGATTTCTGCTTCATTTGCTATTTATGCTAGACTAGCAGTGCGGTCATGTGACAGACTCAGATGTTGACTTGCAAACTCTGAAGCCGATTTTGGATTATGTGTCGATAAGAACAATAGTTTGTTGTGTTTGTGACAAAACAACTGCATCAGTTTCCAGAGAGAGACACCAGGATGAAAGGCAGGATGTTTTAAATATGACAGGACACAGGTGTCCAAAATTAGCAGGAAGAGAGTCTAATTTTAAACGCACACACACACACACACACACACACACACACACACACACACACACACACGCACACACGCACACACGCACACGCACACACGCACGCACACGCACACACACACACACAAACACACACACACACACACACACACACACACACACGCGCACACACACACACACACACACACACACACGCACACACACACACACACACACACACACACACACAAACAAACACACATGTTTTGACTCAAACAAGTTATTTTCTTCCAGGGCAATAGCTTCAGTTTCATTTCTGTCTGGCTTCCAAGCAATTCTCCCTGTTCTTTTTTTGGTTAGTTGGGCAGCTCAGCCCTCTGCCCCACCTTACCTTTGGCAGTATCGTGAGGAGAATTATTGTATGTGCTTTTTTGTGTTTGTTTTGGACAGTGGGGTCAAATGTGCCTTGTGAAGTCTGCCTAGCAACATGCAAACGTGACACAATTGTCAAAATGTTTCAGAGCGATTCTAATAAATTTATTCACGATAGTTACCTATAACTAAAGCAGGCTGTTAATCATTAGCATAGCACACTATATATTCTATTTGTATTCTATTCAGATTCAAATTAAAATTAGTTGTCTTTATGAATGCTTTTATTTTTTTCTTTCTAGTAATCCGATTTATCTAGCCATGTAGATATCCATCCATCCATCCATCCATCCATCCATCCATCCATCCATCCATCCATCCATCCATCCTTCTGCTAACGAGCAAGCCATCATTAGCACAGGAGAGTTACATTAACATTCAAATTAGTTAGCTATTATTTTGTTTTGTTATTAGTTTTGGCTAAATGGAGTTAGATTTTCTATTTCGTTTTTTTTTTAGCCTCAATGTCAACATCCATACAAAAAGTATATCGCTAGCATATTAAAGATGACATCGCACATGCTAGCCGGTTAGTTTTAGAGTTGCTAAGAGCTAGCATCTTGCATTTTGTCATCAGAAAATGCTTTGTAGAACCTTCTGTTCATACTCTAAGACAATGGAGCTCAACTAAAACTCGGAAGCTAATCTGAGCCTTATCAACAAGGATGGCCTAAACCCTCCGGCTGTTGCTTACCTATTCTGTGGTCATGACCTTTCAAGTAGCCTAACCTCACAGATGGTTGGCACGTATGAAAGGTCACCTATTCTCAATTTTTCTAAAATCATTACATAAAATGGCCAAAACACTTCAACAAAGAGCACTCCCACCAGTGATCTCACACATACATGCACGTGGGTCTTACTTTGGCTCCTCAGTCACGGTCCATAGCTGATTCTCCTTGATTCGGTGAGTCTGATTAGGGTCCGCATGTGAGCTGTTCATGTTTCTCAAATGGCTCTATAAAGGATTTAACCCATGCCGGGTCAGGGTGAGGTCAGTCGAATAAAGGCGGATTGAAGGAGTTACCTTCCTACTGTGTCACCCAAACACCGTGACCATACACTGAAAGTGACTTATTGTTCTTTAAGCTCCAAAGGCCTCCAGGACTAGTTGATGTCCATGGTCAGAGGTGGATCAGAAGGCTCTTTTTTCCATCAGCAGGGACGGCAAATAGCAGACCCAAATTGTGGCGATGTCATCATCCAGAGCTGCAGCATACTTTTTATTTTCACTTGAGTATTTTTCATTCGAAGACATGCTCGTTGAAATTTTAGCAAAAGGTATTTATAATTGCATGTACAATCTCTGTAACAGACCCTTGTCTCACATGATTCCCATTTCGCCAATCTAAAGACTTTGATGTGTGATACAATATTGAGAATACAAAACATACCATGTAAAATCAATATGTACATTTACTTCACACAAATGCACTCATAAACATGTACTATATACCTTTAAAAAACTCAAATAGCTTTGTTTTTCCAATTAGCCTTGTTCACCTTGTGCATGCTAATTAGCCGGTGTTAGCATCCTACGGCTCAAATCTAGTTGGCCTCCATTGTTTTCCAACTGGCGCGTTCGCAAAAACCCTGTGAGAATGCTGACTTGAAGCATTTGATTCAATCCCCTCGCCTGCTTTCAGCGAGCGTGTCTGGAATTACAGCAATGGGGTTATGTAAAAGTCTGCAGCCTGCCTCTCTCTCTCTCTCTCTCTCTCTCTCTCTCTCTCTCTCTCTCTCTCTCTCTCTCTCTCTCTCACTCTCTCTCTCTGTCTCCATCACGCCAGGCCTTGACCTCAAGCTCTCAAGTGTTGTCTCCATCCTCGTTGCACAATTGCCCAAATGGAAACTGACATGAGGTACAGATTGACGTGGGTGTGTGTGATTTTTTAAGGGGGTTGGGGGGCAATCACATTGTTAGCCCCCCGTGTGGAATCAGACACCACGCAGACAGATAATCCCCCACAAAGAGTCTGTTTTGAGGCTGTGTGCATACGTGTTCTGCATATATTTAGCACACGTGAGGATTTGGGGTCACAGCATGGGGATGGATTACTGATTTAGTAGGACAGGAGCCAGATTTTAGCCTCACGAGCGGCACACTTTCACCTCCATGGATGACATCATCATCCTCAGCTCCAGTACAGCGCAACGGCCAATACGTGGTACACTAGCCATGATCGGAACTCAATTTACTTGTATCACAAATCTCAATTACCCCATTGAAAAGAACTGAAATGCCATTGTCAAGCACTGAGCACCATTCACACAATTTGTTGTTAAAAGTATACAAAAATATAATTAAAAAAAGAATGTTAAAAAAATGGTTTTATAAAGTGTAGCAATGATTCAATATGAGCAAATATTTATTTGAAAGTACAAATTGTAGAAATTACAGTGTAAAAACATCAAAATGGAAAAGGTACAGAAATAAAATGCTATTAGAACTGTACTAGTGTGTAATGTCCGGAGCTGGAGTCATTTTGTGTGCGTGTGAGCGTCTGAGTGTCAATTATGGGCTAATAGCAGCTCCCATTTTTGGGGCCTTGAATTTTCTTTCAAATGAGAACGTAAAGAAATCGACTGGTTTACAAAGTGTAGCAATGAGTGACCTCGGGAGCTGGAGCAGGTTAGCTAATTTGCTTCTGTGTGTCGGGACAAGTTGTGCCCTACAGCAATTTCTAAACAAAAATAGCCTTAAAAAAATATATAAAACTAACTAACCATAAAATTATCCATAAGTAGGGGCACAAAACATTTAAGTCAAAACCATCGAGATGTGTAACACGCAAAGTGAAGTTGTTTTTTTTACTTGATTCATTATTGTTCTGTTTGGTGGTATTATAGATGTTGTGATTCCATTTTTGTGTGTTTCCAGCAGGTGGCAGTGGAGGGTTTCTCCTCCAGCGTGTTCACCTGCTGCAAATTTGATTATCATGATTAAGCCTGTATTTAAGGACTGCCAAGATTCCATGACTCTTGTCAGATTATTGACCTTGTTGCTGCTGTTGCTCAGGTGTCTTTTTCTCGATGTCGCCATTGTAGCTTTTGCCTCTTTTTCCTCGGTAGTAAGTATTATTATTTTGTTTTTGCTCTTGTGTTTGCTTCGTGCAATTGGACTGAGTCATTCCACTTGTTTTCTCGGATTAACTATTTCTCTGCCTTTCGCAGGCGCTTTTTGTTAATGTATTGTTTGTCCTGGTTCTAGTTGACCAGAGATTTCTGTTTATACTTTATCGGTGCGCTTTTGTTATTCAATCAGTATTTTTGTGATGGATTTTTTTTTTTTATGTCTACATTTTTTTACGTTTGTAAACCTCAAGAATCCTCAAATGTTTTTCAGATTTGTTGTGCATTTGGAACAAATCACTTCTCTTTTACACCTTTTCTCCAGATAATGATTTTGAAAGCGAACTCCGAAGTCAATGGAACATATTGTGTTTGGATGTCTTTGGATGTTTTCGCTGTCGAGGCGTTCCGATTCATGAGCTGCAGAGTGACATGAAGTGCTTTCTTCTTCCTGGGATGTTGGTGTATGTCATGACCCTCCCACTAATGTCTCCATGCAAGGGCTATTCATTCACGTCTAACAGAATGCAGTTCCATCAGTCCATACGCCATGATCCAATTCTTTCCATGTCAACATCTTTCACCAAGGCCTTTCTTTGCAGTCACATCTCATTTGTGCCATCTACACTCATTTGTTGACTCCAAGGTAACAGTTTGTAACTTTTTGAGAGCTAAAAGGTAAAGGCCAGCGTGTGCATTTATTCCTGTTGACTTGGACCTCCTGGCGTCTAATCTAAAGTTAGCAGTCTTGAATTTAAGTTTTAAATTGGACCGGAAAAATGTTGCTGTCATCAAATCCCTCTTTTTTTCCCTTAGGCTGTTGGCTAAAGTAAAGACAAGAGTACTTCGAAGCAGTAACCCATGCCTTCGTTACATCTTCAATGATTGCAGTCGTTTACTATATTTTGGAGTCAGCCAGTCCTCCCTCAAGTATCTCCAGTTGGTCCACAATGCTGCTGCTCGCCTCCTAACTGGACAACTCCAAGTCTGGCCTTGCTTCATCCAAGAGTTCATTTTACTCTTATTTGTTTTTACATGGTCTCGCTCCACCTTACCTCTCTGAGCCCCTCAGGTCAGCAGTCCAGACGCTCCTGGAGGTACAGAGTCAACCCCGCCCCTTTTGGAATGACCTCCCATTAAATGTTAGGCAAAAGCCCCCCACCCACTCCCAGGTCCATTTTTAAAACTCTTCTTAAATCACATTTTTATTTTTCGACTTTTAACTCAACGAGAGATGCAGCATTGTGTTAATGTTTTATTGTTTACTGTCTATTATTTATTAATTGTCTTTGTTTTTATATGTATTATTTTTTTCTCTCTCTAAGTATAGCACTTTGTGCGCAGCCATGGCGGTTGTTAAAGCATTCTACAAATGAGGTTGAGGTATTCTAGTTGCCTATGACCATTTGTGGCATCGGCAAGATGACAAATCGAATGTTAGCGTAAGACTTGAGGTGACGAGACCTATCCGGTGACGTACATGCTGTATGCCTTCCTAAATGTTGCGCAGTCCAGTAAATGTTTAACAATGACATGAACGAAGCCAGCAAGAGGAAAGTGGCGGTGCAGACGCAGGGAAGGAAGGTACTTCTCAAATAAATCTGCAGTGAAACGAGAGAGTGAAGGAGCAGGCCCATTTTTGGGCTTAAGGAGCGATCTCCTAGGCGAGAGCCATGGCAACAGCCACCGTGGGCCCCCAGCATTCAACGCTGTCCTTTTCAAAATTGGCAGGTCAGGTTTTTTTTTGTTTTGAACTCGTCTTGCGTTCCGTGTCACTCCCATTCTTCCATTCCCTTGCATTGCCCCATGTGACATGATCACCAAAGGGGAGGGAGGCTGTGAGAAGACTGCAGAGTGGGAGTCTGTGGGAAAATGTTGCCAAAGAACACAGGAGCGAGAGCAGCTTATTCAAATGCAGCCCATAAAAGACAGACTCTGGGGGAAAGCATGAATTAGTCTTGAGCGCTGGTTTTGTTGTGTAAGATACGTGTAAGCTTATGTTAAATTATTATTGTCATTTTATATTTGAGCATTATATTTTTTTGTGTTGCAGTTACCTAGGTTATATTCCGTTTAATAATTGCTTAAACAAGTTTATGTTGATATTGTCTGATTGGTTAAGGAAACCAGGAAGTGTTTGTGTTACCGGAAGGAAGGAGGTGTGTTCTCGTTCGTTCGGAGGTGCAGACGATGGAAAATAAAAAAGCTGCCTTCAAAGGATTCCATCTCTCCTTTTGCCCATTCTTAAAGTAGAGCTATCCAGTACAAAACTACGAACCTCTCAACTTACATACGTATACATCCAATATCATCTCCTTGGCTAGATACATTTTTGTATGTAATTGAAATTTGAAATCTATTATAGAAGTGAAGTAAAACAATGTCATCTATGAAGTAGTTTTTAATTTTGAGAAATGTACTGGAAATTAAAACAGCATTTCTGATATTTCAACATGTACACAAATCAAACCGAAATCACGTTTGGTTTACTTGAGGGATGAAATGAAATTCCAAGCAAAACAAATTATATTAAAAAAAAAAAAAAAAAAACAATTTCAAAAATATGTCTAGAGATTTACTTGAAATTACGTGTTGGAAGCTATTTCAAATATTTCCACAAAGGGGAAAAAAGAGGCTGGGGATCACGTGTACTTTATTTGTGGTCTGATGATTGCATGCATGCGAAAGGAGCAGCGTTGGGTCGAACAAGACACTTTCAAAGCGGTTTCATGCGGACCAAGTCAGTGCATCACGTGGACGTTTACTTTACTGGAGCGCCACCTTGTGGATAAACAATGTAAGTCTGCATACAGCTAATACAGTAAGGGTTGAGGTTAATGTGTTTAAATGTTGAATAAAGTCACCCAAGTGAACAGGTTCGAAACATGGATTGTGAAGCCACTACAGCGAGTTCACGAGCGACTGAATCCATCCCAGATGGCGCGAGACTTTCTGAAAGACGAACCCTTTGCTGCACTCGGCCCCCGGCGGCTGGCTGACCACGCCGGTGAGGAAGAACACCTCCCTGTACAAAGTGAGCAGGGGGCTTCCGGAGCTCACGCTGCAGTCGGCGTTGGCCCGGGCGGCCGTGCAGCCCATCTTGTTACTCATCAGATTGGGATGCGTCTCCAGGCACTGAGGCAGGCTTTTGTACGCCAGCTGGTTGAGTGTGAGCTGGCCCTGGAAGGACGTTGCCCCCGCCTCGGGGTCTTTCCAGCCCGTAATGATGGCGGGGAGATCGCCAGACGTCAGGATGTGGTCCGCAAAGTCTCTCTCGGGGATGCACGCGGCCGACACTTCCCTCTTGAAGATGATGCGGTCGCGCAGCTCCACCACGGCCAGGTCGTTGTCGGGGCGACCCGGCACGTAGCGGGGATGCGGGTGGGTTACTTTCACGTAAAGCGTCTGCTCGCCGTCCTCGGAGGTGACCTTACGCTTACCTGGACGAAGAGATGCACCGAACCCAATCTGTGTCGTGTAAAAGCCGCTTTCAAATTGTGACTGTTTACTTTCAGCGCTTGTGTGTACTGACCCACAGCCACTTGGAAGGAGGTGTACTTGCTGGCACACTGCGCTGAGGTCAGCACCAGGTTCTCCTTGAGAATGACTCCGCTGCAGAAACCTTCCGACTGGGAGCTCTTGAGAAGGGCCTGCGAGCCACATCAACACAGTAAGTTTTCGAGACAATGAAATGATAAAAAATTGAGCCCGCTGTTTCTATGAAATAAGGGATGCAACTAACAATTATTTTCTTAAGATGTCAATGAATTGCGTTTGGTCCATAAAATGTCAGAAAATAGGCAAAGGCATTTTTTCCAAAGCAAAAGCAAATGCCTTATTTTGATTCAATTTGACGGCGGGGGGGGTGGGCGGGGGGTTAATGGTTTCTGAGTAATTTGGGAACGCTGAGTTCAAAAATGACAGCCGTTTCTGTGCATTTCTGAGATGTCGATATTTTAGACAACTAACATTTTACGACATGTTTCTTCAATTAATGTTTGTGCTTTGATGTCCGCCTATTTTTGCATTTGTTTACTGCTAATAGTGTTTTTGGTTTTCAAAATAATGAACCCAACTTGAGCAAAGATTAAAAAAAAAAAACAACAACAACAAAACAATCTGCTCAAAATCCATAGCTGCCTTGCGAGTGGATCAGGAAAACAAGCTGGCATTTTTTCATGTGCGTGTGTGTGTTTTGCTTACCTGCCAGGGACACTCCCCAGAGGCGCAGGCAAGTCCCTGAAAGTTGCTGCGGACGATGGTGGACTGTCTGTTCTCCCACTGGCTCAGACTGTGGACCTTCCCGCATGGATAGCGGACTGACGAGGAGAAGAAGGTGCGTGCGTGTGTTTATTTCTTCCCTTAATGCTGGCATTGTCACGACTGAGGTAATGTGAACGCGCGTACCTGCGGGCTCGCACTTGTTTCTGTCCGTTCGATGGAGCTTCCACCCTCGTGCGCAGGAACACTCGTAGGAGGTGTAGCCCGGTTTACAGAACTGGGAGCAGCCCTTGTCCTTCTCCAGGGTGCACACGGTTTGGTCTGAAGTGAGGACAAACACATGAGTTAAGTAGGCTTGGGGAATCATCCAGTTTGTTTGGACAAGAAGATATATTTTAATCCATACATCCATTTTTTTCACAGAGGTGCTAGTTTACAAAATCAGATTTCCCATTGCCAACATGGCAATTTGGTGCTTATATGTCGTGACTCTTCTGATTCATTGAGTATCCAGAAAATGTAATTATTAGGAGTAGTTGCTATGGGGGGAAAAAAATAATAAGATATTTTTTGAAAAATGTCATTTCTTGAAGACGGAAATAGGACAAATATGTGAGATATTATTTCAAGGGCCCGGTGAGCCAGTGGTTAGCGCGTCAACCTCACAGTGCAGAGGTACTGGGTTCGATTCCAGCTCCGGCCTTCCTCTGTGGAGTTTGCATGTTCTCCCCGGGCCTGCGTGGGTTTTCTCTGGGTACTCCGGTTTCCTCCCACATTCCAAAAACATGCATGGCAGGCTGATTGAGCACTCCAAATTGTCCCTAGGCGTGAGTGCGGATGGTTGTTCCTCTCTGTATGCCCTGCGATTGGCTGGCAACCGGTTCAGAGTGTCCCCCACCTACAGCTGGGATAGGCTCCAGCACCCCCCCGCGACCCTTTTGAGGATAAAGCGGATCGGAAAATGGATGGATGGATTGCTTCAAGGCCCTACAGCCCAGCCCTTGAAAGAAGTGAAGTAGAAATGTAAACGGCTCACCGGTCTCGCAGTGCACCCCCGAGAAGCCCGCCTTGCAGACGCAGTCGTAGCCCCCCACACTGTCAGAGCACAGGGCGCCGTTCTTACAGGGATTCTCCGCGCACTGGTCTCCATCTTAAGATACACGAAAAAGCACCAGCGTCACACGGGAGGTGGCAAAATTCCCACAATTTTTGCACCAGTAATTGACAAGGTCACCTCCAAATATCGATAGTTAAAGCTAAATATGATACCTTTCCGGTCCTCCTTCCAGTGTTGAATATTTACAGAATTCTGAATTTTATACCGGAAACGTACCACCCTGTAGCAACCCGTTTCACACAAAAGCAAGTGCAGCAACTTACCGATGTAGACGGACCAAAAGATGTCCTGGAAGAGAAGGTGAAGATGATGAGTGAACGCATGAAGAATGCGACGAGGGAGCGCGAGGATCTCACCGTGCGATATGAGTCCTGGAAGTGCTTGCGGGCCTCCTCGTAGGTGCACACCCTCTCCATGCAGGCCTGCTCCAGCGTGGACGGCTGCTGGGCGGTGCCGTCGACGCTCCTCTTCTGACGTGAGATCATCGAGCTGGCCTCATGCTTGTCCAAGAACACTGGAGGACGACGACGAGGAAGCGGGAGAGCGTTACATCAAAACTGGGCTTCGTTCAGCACACCTTCTGGGCTCACTTCCTGTTTCCGATTGCTGGGTTCTTTGATGGCTCAAGGACATCCACCTTATTGTCTAATTCATACTAGGCTGAGGATTTGGACAACATGAAGTCAAACAATAGCTCAAGATGATGGCTTGATTTTTAAAATAGTTGTTAAAGCTGTTTATTATTTAGCGCTAAGCAATACCAAGTAAACAACAATAATTGATTTGGAAAGAGTAATGGGGGAAGAAACAAGTTTGGAAGACACTTTAATGCAAAATGCATCCATCCATCCGTCCATCCGTTTTCTGATCCGCTTTACCCTCACAAGGGTCGCGGGGCTTGCTGGAGCCTATCCCAGCTGTCTTCGGGCAGTAGGTGGGGGACACCCTGAACCGCTTGCCAGCCAATCGCAGGGCACACAGAGAAGAAAAAATATCCACGCTCACACTCACACCGATGGACAATTTTGAGTGTCTAATCAGCCTGTCATGCATGTTTTTGGAACGTGGGAGGAAACCGGAGTACCTGGAGAAAACCCACATAGGCACGGGGAGAACATGCAAACTCCACACAGGAAGGCCGGAGCTGCAATCGAACCCGGTACCTCTACACTGTGAGGTTGACGCGCTAACCACTGACACATTGGGCCGCCAAGCAAAATGCAATTTTAGCGAATTATTTGATTAATCAATGAAATAATCAGCCCTGCTCGAAAGGAGTGTATCTGTTATGACAAGAACTTGGCAACGCGACATGCTCCTCTTGTTGCTGCTCTCCTCACCTGTTTGCGGGGGGCTCTGCAAGGCGGCCACGGCTGCCACCAGAAGCCACACAAGGGCGCCAATTGGGGTGGAGGAGTGCATGGTGACGCCTGAGTCCTACAAATGATACGGCACAAAAAAGTACATATGTCAGATGACAGAAATGAGAGCTAAGAAGTTTCAAGTGAGGTTGCAGTGTTGTTTCATTAAGTCATCACTTAAGTCATATGAAGACTGGAATTAGAACGGCATCAATACAATGGGAGACATACTTGATGCTGCTTGCAGAAAGTTCATCTTCAGAATGGACCTAAAGCGCACTGCGACACAGATTGATTTGACCTTCTGTAAACTTCACATTGTCCAACTGCAGTGGCGCTTTCTGAGATGTGGACCGAATATGTCACTGTTTCTGTACTTTTGACACAACTTGCTGCTCTAGCAAGAAGCTGAATGGCAAAGTTCACATTCACATTTTTTAGACTTCCAAGGACATCCACTTCTCTGCCTTTCTGTGACTCTTCCAGTCTCTCTTTCTGATCACATTCGAAGCTCAGTGCCTAGGAACATCCTGTTTGAGGTAATTTTGATCAATTACGCTGCTCAACATCATTTATTGCGAAGACGTTTCAGAAACAGTCCTCTTGTTGCTCAACCCAACCTTCCAATTTTTAACAGTGAATAAATATATTACATATTTTTATTATTACAATTATAAAAACCTGTAGTCATAATTTACAAAAAACAGGCCAAGATTTGGAATCAGCGCCAACAAAAATCTATGGAAGTTTACTTGCATCTCTGATTTAAAAAATTGTAAAAAAAAAAAATATATATATATATATGGTTAACCATATTATTTCAGCAACAAATAACACAAAATATTTCAAAACTGTGAGAAATAAAAACGAAGAGCAGAAATGCATACATCTCGTTTTAGTTTGGTGGATGACAACAAACTCAAATCGTGCTTTTATGTTATGTTTTCAATATAATGTATTAATTTATACATGTTACATATAAAAGTACCGCAATAATTTTATTTTGGGTGGGTGGGGGGTGACATTCATCCGTAATTAGCGTTCCGAAATAAAGTACCTACATATCATGAATGTCCCAAATAAATAAAAACCATAATTCTTGTTCATTCGATGTGACAGTGCAATTTTCTAACAGCTGCCATGTTGCCAGCAGGTCTGATTGTTGACTTGCTGCACACGACGCCCTTCCTCCAGCTCCGTGTGCGTCCACACAAGGCCGAGATAACACTAAAAGTCATCTTGCACTAATAGGTCCGGGAATTGCTGCTTAGCCTTTAGCATTAGCTCGTACGAACAACGATTGAACATCAGCTGGCGCAAACAAACGAGAAGGGTAAAAAAATAATACATCTCGTCAGTACATTGACGTCACATTCGGGGAGTCGACCTGTCATGACTCACCTCGTGCAACCCAAAGACAAATGGGCTGAGTTTTGGAAGCTGTCGGTTCCGAACACACAACACCGGGCCGGAAGATTGGGGGCCTGCGTCGGAAAATGTCGAACCACAATAACAACACGACTATGGCAAGCGGAGATGATACAACACAGATTCACATTTATTTTGAAAAGCAACGTAGGCCGTTTTTCAAAATAAACGCGGTGGCCGCTAGGCGTCGAGAACGGACCTCGGATCGCCGTACAACAGTCTTAAAAATTAGCGCGGCTTTGCGTGGATTGATCAGATCCGCTTGCCATCGCTCCGTCGCCTCCTCCGCAGTCGAACTGCCGCTTTATTTTAGGAGGTGTAATATCAATGATGACCACTGGAGGGCATCAAAGGACAAAACCAAGTCGGGAAGTCAGCTCTCACGATTTTCTTCAATTACTACGACAGTACTGCTACCACTTGTACTACAGTACTACGACTCTCCTATGACTACAACTACTGTACTTTAAATGTCATTAAAAAATTACAAATAGTGATCACGCGATGAAAAACCTTTTGCTCTTCATAGGGCTGCTTGTCGTTTAGAAGAGCTCAGTGCTGGCTGGCAATTTGTGCCCAACGTAGTACCGATGTTTTTCGAGTAAACGAAAACTAACGAAATAACAAAAGCTGGGAATTCCGGACGAAAGCACGTGCACTTCACAGTGCAGAGGTTCAGCGTTCGATTTCGGCTCCGCCCTGCGTGGAGTTTGCAAGTTCGCCCCGTGCCAGTGTGACTTTTCTCCAGTCACTCAGTTTTCGTCCCACATTCCAAAAACATGCATGGCAGGTTAATGGAACACTCTAAATTGTCCCTGGGTGGTGTGAGTGTGAATGGATGTTCGTCCATGTGTGCCCTGCGATTTGCTGGCAACCAGTTCAGGGTGTCCCCCGCCTACTGCCCTAAGACAACTGGGATAGGCTCTGGCATGCCTGCGACCCTCGTGAGGTTAAGATAATTAGAAAATGGATGGATGCATGCGCTGCAATTGTGTGGTTCTGTCCTCAGCTGTGAGTCCGATAACGTCTGTCTGATGACCGCATGTCTTGTGCAGCGCAAGTGGGGCAGGTTGTAATTTGCCCGGGCCCCAAGCGGATTCACCCCAACTGGGGCAAATCGAGAAGGGAAAGCATGTTGTTTCCCGCTGGAGGTGCAAATGAACATTACGGCATGTGCTGATTTCCCCGAGCGAGGAGTGTGAAGATCCGGTGTCGCCTTAGTACCTGATGACTGCGAAAACAGAAAGTACATTGATCCATCATCTGTCTTTTTCTGCCTGTCGTGTTTTATTCACATCTTTTCTTGTCTCACCAAGCTTCCTTTCCCACTCTTCTTCCCGCAATTAGTTTGCAATTGTGGTAAAAATTGGCTGATCCATTGCTCCTTCATGTTTTTTTTTTGTAGTAACGCTACCACAATCTATAACATGCATCGATATTAAATGAATGTTGACAACCTTGATTAAAATACTCACATGCACGTTGAGGCTTGAATAATTCTCCCTGCGCCTGTGCTTCTGTTTTTCAGCACTAGTAGTTCATTCGTTTCTTCGTTTTTATTTATTAATTTCATGTCAGCTGATATCAAGCAAACGTGCAGCTTTGATTTGAGGAATGAACGTAGAGTTTGGAAAATGAGTGGATGGATGCATCTTGGTGTCATCTGCTAACGTTAGCTGCTAGCTAGCTGACCATTGGCTATACGTTCTACAGGTAGCTACACCTGCAATAGGTGGAAAATTCGCCGCATGACGGAAAATAAGTCCTTTGAATTTACATAATTTGAACACGTTCATCGGTTGCGCATGATTCAAATGTGCGAAACTGACACATTATTTTGTTTTCAAGGACATGAAGGGAGACTGCGTCAGTGTACAAAAATCTATATTTTTAAATACGTTGTACAGTAGTTTTACCGCTCACAACATTCCTTCTACACATTTAAATGACTAAAACACTTGCTGAATTCCTCTTCTCACAAACGTACTTTTGTCTAAATGAACCTCTTTAACTCACTTCAATAAACTGTAATTTATAGCATTTAAGATGTTTAAGATTATTTACAATAACCTTATCCTTCGTTATTTGTTTCTTTGCTGCCATCCTGTGGCAGCTTCGTGCCAAGGCGGGATGTTGAAGTGAGTCAAGGAGTTTAATTCGGTCAAAAGTAATGCTTTATCACCAACTTGTGGCATTGACAGACAATCCTAAAAAATGTTAAGAGGTGCCATGAATCACTCACAAATTTTGGCTATTTTCACCATGGCTCACATGACTCTCCTGTTTGGTCTTTTTGTGTGTTTTTAAACACCACAAAATGGCGCCAAACCCCTGTCGATATAAAAGTAGTGCTTTAGCGCCTTCTTGTGTCATCTTTGTGTGTGCGTGTGTGTGTGTGTGTGTGTGTGTGTGTGTGTGTGAGAAAAAAAAAATATATAAAATTTCCCCCAGTGTAATTCCAATCACCGTCAATTTTTTTGTGGATTTTCACCATTCACGGCCTGGATTGGCCCCTATGCCTCTTGAGCAACCAATGCATCAAACACGTCAGCTGGCCTGTTTTGCTCCAAACTGCAACATACTGCACTGTAGTTTGCAAACAGCCCACGCATGCGCCTTGAGTGAGAACACGACGACGGCGCACGAACACACAATGCAATCACGCCTCCATTCAAGTGCCACAAAATTGTGTGTAATTGAGTTGTTTTGTGACAAGGACCAACGATAATGTTGCATTAAGTAGTGAGTGGAGGGCAGGCTGAGGCAAGGGCGGCGCTGTGGGGGGTCTTAAATGCTCCCCTGCTCTGTCCCACTTTTGTACATTTCTTCCATTAAAAAAAAAAAAAAAATATTTCAGTTAACGTCAGCTGGACATATTTTATTTAAGGCTTAATCGCGGTGCCCCAGTCCCTGAAGCTAATTTATTTGCTCACGTGTCAGAGAGAAGGTGCGAGCGCACGTGACGCGCACTCCTTCCTTTACACACTTGCACCCTCTCACCTTTCGCTGCGAGACTGGTTCTCAGAAATCATCTGAGATTGACGTTATTCTTTCATACTCCAGCGCCTTCGCATAACACAAGGACTTGAAAATGTCTGGGGAGGGTTGTTTTAAAAATGTATTCTGATACCGTTAACTAGTTACCGATTAAGAATTGTCATCAGTAAGGTCATTAAAGAACTGTAACGTTGACTCGTTCACTATGGAGACTTGACATTGTATTGTCAAACGTTTTGGAGCATTTTGATGAATTGTTCAAGACGCACTTGCACAGAATTTTGTCTTGGTTGACAACACAAGTACCAAACCTATTGAAACAAAAAGTAGACTCTCTTCTTCTCCAAAAACGTTTCATTCTCACTTTGTCAACTCTTCAGTAAATCAATAGTATAGAACATGGCTTGGTTTCGGCCAAAACACTGGATTCTGACCCAAAAAGTGGAGAAAACGACCTTTGACGCTACTATATACGTATGATGCGATATACAGAGTGGTGTCCATCCCCTATTCAGCTCGGGTCCTCTACCAGAGGCCAGAAAGCTTGAGGGTTCTGCGCAGTATCCTTGCTGTTCCCAGCACTGCACATTTCTGGACTGAGATGTCCGATGTTGTTCCCGGGATCTGTTGCAACCACTCATCTAGTT